ATCCGTGACTGTTGTTGGTTTGTTGTGAGTTTCATTCTGAACTCGGGGATTGAAAGTTAACTGACATTTCAGCGTACTGCAACTTTTATCTGTACGTTGGCCAGCAGGAGCCTCTTCAGGTTGCCTTCTGAGTTCTTTTGGTGACCTCTGTTGTCTTTGAAAGCTTCCTTGCTTTCTTGTTTGACAAGATATGCCAGGCTCATCTTACATATTTGCTGTCACCGACAAGAAATCAGTTCTTTTTCTGTGGAGACTTGTTTCTTTTAGAGACCACATTCTGGGTATTAAGGTGCTCATCATATTGATTGGTCATTGTTTGTAGACCTTTTCAGTAAAGAAATATGCATTTTAAAAAAGATAAACTATAAAGTGATACTGATACTTCCATTCAAATTTAGGACTCCTGGATCTTACGTCAGTTGTTGATTGTTGTTGTTGTTGTTGTTAAGTGCCATCAAGTCACTCCCAACCCATAATGTACTTGAATAGGGTTTCTGAGGAGCGGTAGGTGAGTTTGAACCACTGATCTTGCAGTTCAAACCGACCTTGCAGTCGAGTGCTTATCCTACAGCGCCATATACAGACAAGGAACCATGTTGGTCCAGTGGTTAAATACTTGGCTGCTAACTGAACGATCAGAGGTCCAAACCCATCTAGTGATTCTGTGGTAGAAAAGACTTGATTCCCATAGATTATAGTTGCTAGTTACCTTCAGGTTGATTTTTGACAAATAGCAACACAGTGAGAGAGCAGCACTGCCCCACAGGATTTCCTATGCTACAATCTTCTACAGCTCGTAACAACAACAACAAACTTACAGGAGCAGATTGCCCAGAGTTTTCTTCTGTGGAACCACAGGTTTTCTCTCCTGTGTTGATGGGTTCCAATCTCTGATCTTTTGGTTACCATCCAAGAGCTTAAGCAGTGGTGTCACAGGGCTCCTTCCAATAAAAATTACTGTCTAGGAAGCCCTATGGGGCAGTTCACTTTTGTTCTATAGGGTCATTATGAATTGGAATTAACTCCATGGCAAACAACAACAACAAAGAATTGATATCAATACTGCTACCAATGATAAGGTTACAGAAAATAATGTAAGGCTTTGCAGTTTAAAAAAGAAAGGGAGTGAGTGAGAGACTTGAAAGCATTCCCCTAGTGGTGTTCAGTATCCATTCTGAAACCGTCTTCTGACTTTCTAAAATAACAGATTAGCACATGTTATAACAGAATTGAATAAACCAATTTACTGAAAGAATCAGTCACACTATGTATCTGTGTATCAATAGAACAAACACATAGTTGATAAATTTGGTATAGATGACAGCAAAAAATACACTGAATTTTCTTGCTACGTTTATGCAAATTATCTTCTGCTTTATTGACAGTTTTGTATTTTATATTATCCATATATCAATTTTTCAATGTCTTAAACTACAGAAAGGGCAAGGAATTCTATGTACGTAACATGATTTGCTTGTTTGTTTTAAGTAAATATGCTAAGAAACACTGAATTCCCTTTCTTTTTAAGTATGGCAGATTTTACCATGATATTTTCAACTATCAAATTATATTAAGGTATTTTTTCTTATATAATTTGTCATTAATGGCTCTAGAAGGAATGGGAGTCATATTATTGAATAAGCTGTTATTTGTAGATCTATAGATGTAGAATATTGTTTTTAAGAAAATTGTGAAGTTAAAGGAAACTAAGTTATTGTTAGATGGCTACGCATAACAAAATGAAACACTGCCCAATCCTGTGCCATCTTCACGATTGTTATATTTGAGTCTGTTGCTGCTACTACTGTGTCCATTCATTCTCTTTAGGGGGAGTCTCCTTGTTTTTCACTGTTCCTCCACTTTATCAAGCATGATGTCTGGTCCCTCCTGATAACATGTCAAAAGAATGAGAGATGAAGTCTTGCAATCCTGTATTCTAAGTAGCATTCTGTCTGTACATCTTCCAAGACAGATTTTTTTGTTCTGGGAAGTCCATGGCTATTTTTAATATTCTCCAACATTATAATTCAGGTGTGCATTGATGCTTCTCCAGTCTTCCTGATTCATTGTTAAACTTTCACATGCATATGAGGCAATTGAAAATACCATGACTTGGGGCAGGAGCATCTTAGTCCTCAAACTAGTATATTTATTCTTGAACCTTTAAAGAGGTCTTTTGCAGCAGATTTGCCTAATGTGATAACATTGTTTGATATCTTGTCTGCTGCTTCCATGAATGTTGCTTGTGTATCCAAAGCAAAATGAAATCTTTATCATGTTGTTTTATATTGATCCAGTTGTGAGGATTTCTTTGTTCTTTACTGTGAGGTGCAATTCATACCAAATGCTGTTGATTTTGATCATCAGTATTTTAAGTCCGCTTCACTTTTAGGAAGCAAGGTTGTATCATCTGCATATTGTTGTTGTTAAGTGCCATCTAGTCTGTTCCGACCCATAGCGACCCTGTATGGGGTTTCCAAGCTGCAGCATGTAGAGCTTGAACCACTGACATTGCAGTTCAAACCAACCTTGCAGTCCAGAGCATTAACCCGCAGCACTACACCAGGACTCCTGCCATGTTCTTCTTCATATAATCCCGTTTCTTAGATTATTTGTTCATCATACAGATTGAATAAATATGCTGTATGAATATAGCCCTGGTGTACAGCTTTCCTGACTTCAGTATCTCCTTGTTCTGTTTGAATGCAGTACTGCCTCTTGGTCTCATAATCCACACAGTCAAATGCCTTTGCATCGTAAATAAAGCACAAAAGTAAACATCGTTTTGACATTCTCTGCTTTCAGCCTAGATTCACCTGACATCAACAATTGATGTCCCTCGTTCCATGTCCTCTTCTGATGCTGGCTTGCATTTCTGTCAGTTCCCTATTGATGTACTGCTGCAGTCGTTTTTTAATTACCATCAGTAAAATTTTCTTATATGTGATATTAACACTATTGTTTATTTCTGCATTCTGTTGTATTGTAGCACGTTTCTTTGGAATGAGCACAAATATATTTCTTATCATCTGTTAGTCAGGTAGTTGCCTTACAAATTTCTTGGCTCAAATGAGTGAGTATCTCCAGTACTGCATCAGTTTGTTGAAAGATTTCAGTTGTATTCTGTTAATTCCTGAAGTTTTGTTTTTCCATCAGTGTTTTATTTGCAGCTTGAACTTCTTCAGCACCATAACTTCTTTATTATATGCTATCTTTTGTAATGATTGAACATCTACCCTTTCTTCTTGATACAGTGATTCTGTATAATCCTTCAGTCTTCTCTTGATGCTGTCTACATTCGATATTTTTCCTATGGAGTTCTTCAATATTATAACCTGAGGTTTGAACTTTTTCTGTAGTTTTTACAGCTTGAGAAATGCCATAAATAAGCGTGTTCTTCCCTTTTGGTTTCTAAATCCAGGTCTTTGCATGTTTCACTAAATTACTTAATTATGTCTTCTTCAGCTGCCCTTTAAAATGTTCTGTTTAGCTCTTTTACTTCCACATATCTTTCATTCGCTTTAACTTCTCTATGCTCAAGAGTAAGTTTCAGAGTCTCTTCTGACATCCATTTTGGTCTTTTCTTTCTTTCCTGTATATTTAATATCCTTTGGTTTTCATGTATGATGTTTTTGATGTCATAGCACAACTCTTCTGGTTTTTAGTCATTGATGTCTAATGAATCAAATCTGCTATTGAGATGATCTCTAAATTATAGTGGTACATTTTCAAGGTCATAGTTAGGGTCTTGTGAGTTGTTTTAATATTCTTCATCTTCAGCCAGAACTTGGATATAAGCAATTGATAGTCTGTTCCATAGTCTGCCCCTGGCCTTATTTTGGCAAATGTTACTGAGTTTCTCCAACATCTCTTCCCACAGATAGAGTCAATTTGATGCATGTGTATTCCATCTGGTGAGGTCCATGTATATGTTGTTTAAAAAAGATATTTGCAATGAATAAGTTGATGATCTTGCAAAATTCTATCATTTGACCTCCAGCATCATTTCTGCTGTCAAGGCTATATATTTTCCAACTGCTGATCCTTACACTTGTCTCCAACTTTTGTGTTCCCATCACAGTGTGCCTTGATTGCATGTTTGATCACTTTCAGACTAAAGAAGCTGATAGAAAAGTACATATTATCCTATCACACACAACATTGTGCTTCAAGATCGATCTTGAAATGCTCTTTATGATAATGAATGTGATGCCTTTCCTCTTCAGCTTGATGTTCCCGGCCTAGTAAACCATATGAATGTTGCCTTCAAAATGACCAATATCAGTCAAAATCATCTCACTAATGCCTAGGATATCGATCTTTATGTGTTCCATATCATTTTTGACAACTTTCAATTTTCATAGATTCATATTTCATGCATTCCATCTTCTGATTATTAGTGGGATGTATGCAGCTGTTTCTTCTCATTTTGAGTTGTGTCCCCTCAGCAAATGAAGTGCCTTAAAACCTTGCTCAGTTTGCATCATGACGGACAACTCTACTTTGAGTTGCCCAGTTGTATTTTACCTTCCAGCCTGAGGGGCACTTCTGGCGCTACATCTGACGGTGTTCTGCTGCTATTCAAAAGCTTTTCAGTGACTAAGCAGAATTCCTGGTGGCTCTGTAGGAGAAGCACTGGACTGGTAACAACAAGGTCCATGGTTCAAGCCCACCAAGCCACTCATTGGAAATCCCACATAAGGTCGCTGTGAATCAGAACTAACTCGACAACACTTACTTACAGCAACAACAACCAGAAGGAGTCCACCTCCCTTTCTTCCTAGTCTGCCTTAGTTTGGAAACTGTTGACAGCTCTTTGTGTGGTATGTAAAATACCAGTGGCATAGCTTCCAACATCTTAGCAACACACAAGCTACTGCTTTAAGACAAACTGACAGATGAGTGTTTGTGAAACTTAGGTAATGATCAGTTAAGTAAAAATGTATTCTGTTTGGAATATTAGTGATATACTCGTTTTTATTTTCCCCTTTCAGGTTAAAAGAAAACCATGACTGAATCTGCCTCTAGCACCAGCGGTCAAGAGTTTGATGTATTTAGTGTTATGGACTGGAAGGATGGAGTAGGCACATTGCCAGGAAGTGATTTAAAGGTAAGCTGTCTTTATTACATGTAATTATATTTGTGTAGGAGTCTTAGTGTGGTACTGCAGGATAGTGCACTGAATTGTAAAGTTGGTGTAAATCGCAAGGTCGGCAATTCAAACTCAATAGCAGTTCCTTGGAAATCCTATACAAGGTTGCTATGAGTTGGAATCAACTTGATGGCAACAACGGTATTTGTGTAAGCATCTCTGTGTGTGTTTAATTTAAAATAGACTTGAAGACATGTGAAATAAAAATTAAAAGCATTCTTTATTTTGTAGGTTTATATGATGTTGTTGTTGTTAAGTGCTGTCGAGTCGGTTCTGACCCATAGCAACCCTGTATAGGGTTTCCGAGGAGTGACTGGTGAACTTGAACCACCGACTTTGCAGTTCAAATGGCTTTGCAGTCAGGTGCATTAACCCACAGCGCCACACCAGGATGCCATACGATATTTAGACCTCTAAAAAAGTCTCAAGACAATTTGTAGTGCTGATGGATTAGCAGAAACTTTTTTCACTTGGGATGGAAGATTGATGAATATTTCTGCAGTATTTGCATAAATCAATGTATAAATTCAAGGAATATCATCTCAGTTTTGACTGTATCCTGTGGTCATTAAATAGAACAGATCTAGCTTATGTTTTGTAGTAATGGACTTTGTATCTTTAAGTGAATAATTACACTTCCTGTGCCCTAGTTTTCTTATTTAAAAACTAGATGATGTTTTAATATTGAATAAACTTGACTAGTCACCGTAAGTGATTTCTACTGTAAAATGTGGACTTTTGTATAATCAATCAGTTGTTAAAAAGCAGTTCCCTCCTGCTTTTGTAAATTTGACTGCTTTGGTAAAGATGAACTCTCTTCAGAGGGTGATGGCCACAATCTGCTGCTTTTCACGAGCTTGTCCTGCCTCTTTTTCCCAGCACTCTTGAACCCACTCGAGGACCACATTGGCTATCCCATGCGACATGATTGTGCAAGCACTCATCTGGAAAGTCAACTGCTCCCACCCCTTAATTCTAATTTACTTTTGCTCTCATCTCGTGTCTGGGACCTTGAACTTGTCTGTGGCCTTTTAGACTTTGTGTTTGCACTTGGCCATTCAGGTGTTTGAACTTCCGATCTCCCTATCGGGCTCTAATATGACTTGCCTATCTAATGCATGTTGTTCGGGGCTGTCTTAAGTAGAAACTCCTGCCTTATTATTGACTTCTTGGAATTCAGTCCCATTTGGTGACTGCTTGACATAACATCTTACCCAACTCTGGCTCATCCTCAGTGGTGAGGTTTGGATGACCTGCTTATCATTGGAAAAATACTTAGATTTTTAGTTGGGTGAAGTGGAACTACATGCATTTACTAACATACCAACTATTGTTAGCTTAACAAAAATGATGTGAGGTGTAGTGAACTATGGAGAGGAGATCTGGTTTTTAGTTTTAGTCCTTTATGACCTACAGCAAGTCAGTTAATCATTTGGGACAAAATTTCTTCTTTTTTTAAATTGAGGAAATAAATGACTACTAAGAGTTTTTACCTACCCTAGCAATTTCCAATGTCTATCTGGACCAAATATGCTGAAGCTCATAGATTTTTTGAGAAAAATATTTCTGTTTCTCACACTCTGTTAATACCAACGACATAATAACTTTGCCAAGGTCCTTAAAAATTCTATAAGCTTTAAGAAGCATCTGTGCAGTTGGTCTGTTGTAATTTATGTAATAAGGTGGAAATGGTTATCTTTTCTGGCTTTTCTTATATATTATTTTAAAGCCTTTTTGTTGTTGCTTCACACTTATTTTTCTTGCATGTTTTTACTCCTTTTCTTCTCAATGCCAAGAGGATGATAAAATCTGTTATTTTTGTTCAGTCATGCTTTAGACAATGGAATGAAATTTGGATTGCCTTAGAATTTACTAAACAGTGTATTTTTGGAAGTACTTTATTTTATTAAAGTAAGCAGATAATTAAGCCACTTAGTAGATGCTGTAATCTGAGCTTTTTTATATTATTTTTAAATGTATGTAATTACCTAAGTAATTGCCATATTTCCTCTTCTATCTTTGTGTTGTAGACAGTTTGACATGCCTTCTTTTTAATTTTCATTTTAAAAATATTTTCTACTTTGCTATTGTTAATTCAGTTCTGACTCATAGTACCCCTGTATAGGTTTTCCATGGAATGGCTGGTGAGTTTGAACTGCCAACCTTGTGGTTCAAACCGACCTTGCAGTCCAATGCATTATCCTATAGTGCCACATCAGGACTCCCTTTATATCTGAGCAGATTCAGAAACTAGCCAGTTAATTACAGTGTTTAGGAGTGTTGATTCATTTGCTCTTTAGATTACAATCTGAGTTGTTTGAGAGGTTTAATTGAGAGATTGGTCTTTCACACAATTAGAACAAATTCTTAATAAATTATGGAACTTAATCTCACATGAAGGAGCTCTGGTAGCGTAGTGGTTACGAATCGGGCTGCGAACCTTAAGGTCAGCGGTTCGAAACTACCAGCCGCTCCGCGGGAGAAAGATGAGGCTTTCTACTCCCGTAAAGATTTACACCCTCGGAAACCCTGTACAGGGTCGCTATGGGTCGGAACCGACTCGACGGTACTTAACAACAACAACAATCTCACATGATGCTTTCTCTGTTTTACAGTATTGAAGTTTCTGTTTTATATAGGTGTTGTTGTCGTTAAGTACTGTCGAGTCAGTTCCGACTGAAGTTAGATAAAGAAATTAGCTAAAATATAGAAGTCCATTTTTCATGGTGGGAACAGGTTTTTATATGATTCAGTTGCTGTTTGAAAGACTTTTCCTCTGGAAGGGCTTCATGATTGCTAGCCAATTGACTAACCATACTCTTCTGCCTAAAAATTTTTGTTGTTGTTATGTGCCATCGAGTCAGTTCTGACTCCGTGATCCTGTATACAGTTCCTCAAGGAGTGGCTGGTGGGTTTGAACCTGACCTTGTAAGTTAGCAATCCAGTGCTTATCCTACAGCACCAATATCTTTTAGTCAAACTGGAAGCCTTTAGTTGACTATAAGAGGTTTTGTTGACTCTACTTTGGTCTGTTGTGGCATCTCACTTCACTGCTCTGTGCCACCCTGCTATCTACCCAACCTGAGTTGCCAGTTGAAGACTTCACACCCTAGGCTCTTTTTACTGTGTGCCCTGTCAGCTGCAGTCTTCTGTGTCTCCTCCACACAAGGCTAACCATCTCCTGTGGAGGAGAGCTCAGACAGCTCTGCCCTTAATGGATTGTGTGCTCTAATGGATTGAATGGAGACCTGGCTCTGTGTTAACACTTTACCTACATCATTTTATTCATTCTTTAAAAAAAAAAACCAAAAAACCCTTTTGAGGTGGTTTCTATTTCTGTCTCCAGATTACAGAGGAGGAAACAAAAGCCCAAAGATGAAGAAACTAAGGCCTAAAGTAGTTAAGTCATTTAAGATCAAAGTACTAGTTACTGGTAGCAGTGGATCTCAAAAGCCAGAATTTTTTTGTCTTAAAAATGGATTCTCTTATCACTGCTGTTATATTGTGGGTCTGAAGTAAGAAAAAGTTTTCATGTGTAAGGAAAATGGTACAGGGATTTAGAGGAGGGAAAAATGTATTTCATCTGGAGGGATCTGCCAGTGTTTTGCAAATTAGATGATATGTGAGCTTTAGGTTGTTGTTGTTAAGTGCCATTGAGTTATTTCCAACTCATAGCCACCCAGTGTAAGGCAAATTTTTGAGGAGCAGCTAGAGGGTTTGAACTGCTGACCTTGTGTTTTGCCATCTGGTGCTGATTCTACAGCACCACACCAGAATTCTGAGCTTCAGGTTGTTGTCGCTGTTGTTAAGTGCCATCAAGTTAGTTCTGACCCATAGTGACCCTGTGTACAGCTTTCAAGGAGCTGCTAGTGAGCTTGAACTGCCGACCTTGCAGTTCAAACTGACATGCAGTGCAGAGTGTTAACCCACAGAACCACTGACAGATAAGTTGTTAATGTGTATGCCCTTTGGGGACTAGGTCCAAGGAGGAAGAAAGAAGCGCTTCTATAAGAAAGAAAACCAAACCACCAGGACTCTTTATAAGAGAGAGTAATAGCACTTGAACATACCAAGTGTCAGGGAAGTCCAGGTCTCCCTCCACAGGCATTCTTGAAAATGTCTAGATTATTAACAAGGTATTTCTTTAAACTAGGTTTTGAACATTTTTTATTGTTGTTAGGTGCCATCGAGTCAGTTCCTACTCATAGTGACCCCGGATAGGTTTTCTAAGGAGCAAATAGTATGTTTGAACTTCTGACCTTGTGGTTAGCAGTCCATTGTACACACTTTATGTGTTAGACTGCAAAGTCACTTTGAACCTCAAGGTTGGCAGTTCAAGCTCACCAACCACTCCTCGGAATCCCTATACAGGGTTGCTATGGGTCGGAACCAGCTCCATGACACATTAACAACAGCAACAATTTGTTTCTTTCAAACATAAATTATTAAATGTGTACACTAATATCTCAGGGCTAGCCATGGGGGTGGAGTCTTGGCATGATGCTCTAGGATAAGCACTACACTGTTAACCTCAATGTCAGTAGTTCAAACCCACCAGCCGCTCCTCAGAAACCCTATGTGTCAGAACGTATTCGATGGCATTTAACAACAGCAGCTATGAGTAGAGGCAGGCAACTATGGCTACCCCTTATAGGGTTTCCTAGGAGTGGATGGTGTGTTTGAACCATCAGTTTTGTGGTTAGAGGCCAGTTATTGTGGCAAGGTGCTTGGAAGGGATCCCTGTTCCTTAACAACTTCACTACCTTAAATTCTAATGGACTCTGAAAGTTACCCACAGAGATTATTCCTTTGCATCGTAAGGATTTAATCTGTAGAAGTCCCTCCATTAAAATGCAGAATTCCTGGATGTCAGCAATGTTGTATACTTGCTTGATAAATCCTTTTTGTGAAGTTTCTAACTTTTATATTCTTGGATGTAGAACTGAGTTACTTGGTAAAATTTTTTAGTGCTTTTAATCATTATAATTAAAATAACTTTTAAAAAAATCAGTGATATATCAAGTTTACATGCTTCCAAAGCCATTCATAAAAGCAATACCAAATTCAGAACTTGAGTGTTTTATTGAGTTTGAAAATTAAAAGTTAAAAAATGGACTTCAGTAGTGATATATAGAATACTTAACATCCTATCTTGTCTGATACTTCCAACAAAAGTAGTAATATTATGGAAGACAGTAAATCCTGATGGAGAACTAGAAAAATGTTTTCACTATATCTTTATCCATATGGTAGAATACCTTGAAACCGCTTTTGTTTTTAAGTTTTTGCCTGTAATTTCAGAGATTCATCAATATCTGAAGCTCATTAGGAATCCCTGCTCAAGAGTAGTTATCTGTATCCCTAATTGACTTTGTGTGTGACTTTGTACTTAGAGTGAATGTCTGTTATTGGTAATTAATATCAGGAAAAGGAAAGTGGGCTGGCATTAATTTTAAAAATATTTGAGCCTAAAGCTCTGAGCTGAATTTTTATGAAAAGATTCCAGGCTGGGGCTCTATGCCAGTGTTTCAAATGCAGGCTGGTTTGCAGTTCAGCAGCAATTTGGAAACTTTAAAGTCATTGGAGATTTTCTGTTTAATGTAAATTTTGGGTGCTGTTTCTAACATTTTGCACTTGTTTTTTTTAAAAAAATGCATTAACATAAAAACATGCAATAGAAGTAAAATCACTTAACTGAAATGAATGATTGCACCATTGCCAAATGTTTTTCTTATTTTCATTATATTTGGAATTGATTTTCTTTAATTAGAAATTACTGCGATAACTTGTTTTTTCTACTCTTGCCCAGTAGATGGTACTGTCAGCCTTATTTTGAAACATTTTGTCTCCAGGCTTGATTCTTTTCTTTTTTTTTTTCCTTTCACTTAAACTTTCTCTTTCCAAGAAGTAAAGTTGTTTTTAGCATAATTCCTTCAAGTTAACTTTTTACAACGTATAATACATACATGTTGCCTGGGAATTTGTATCTGAAGATACGATCTAGTTGAGAGAAAATACTCTTTATCTTTCCTAAACTCTTTCACCTCTTTCCATTTACAAAGAAAGTGCTTCTAATTTTGGAGTGTGTGGAGACAGTTGTTTAAGGTGTACTATGTGTCCTGGTGTGGCGCTGTGGGTTAATGCACCAGACTGCAAAGCTGTTTGAACTGCAAGGTCGGTACTTCAAGCTCACCAGCTGCTCCTCAGAAACTCTATACAGGGTCGCTATGGGTCGGAATCGACTCGACGGCACTAACAACAATAATAGTGTCACCTATTGGAAAGAATTTCATTATTGATACTTTAAAAAAAACTTTTTTTTATTAATAAGTTGCATGTAGTTTGGTAAAATAAATTTCTGTTGGCAAGTAGACCAAATAAACTATGTAAATTGGAAATGGAGGGCTTTATTTAAATAATCTGTATTTTCATGATCATGTGTATCTTTGAAAGATTTTTAAAATTTAAGTTAAAATTATTATCTTTTTGACTTTTGAGACTTCTAACTCTTTATCACCTGTTAATATTGTTGGATCCTTGATGTCATTCATTTTGTTTTGATGGAAAAACAGAAATACAGAAAACTGTTTGAGACCCAGACTCCTGTGTAGACAGTGGCTAAGTCTTCAACACACACATACATAGAACAAGGCTCTTGCAGAAACATAATTTGTTTGCAGTTTGCATAGGATGACAGGGAATGTTCAACATTTGGTACTCAAATGGCCGGAAGATCATGTCCTTAATTTTCAGTGGTAAATACCATTGGTATTTCCAGTTATTGTATTGGAGAACTAGAGTTGAGTATAACGGTGCATTCTAAAGAGCAGTGACAGCGTATTTGTGAAGCTCAGGGGTGACAAGGCTCATGCTTTGGCATCCAATTCACATCCTGGAATTTAAAGGCATGTTATCTTTAGGTGCCATCAAGTCAGTTTCTACATATAGCAACCCCATGTGACATGGTAGACCTGCCTCTTAGGGTTTTTTAGGCTGTAATTTTTATGGGAGCAGATGGCCAGGCTTTTCTCCTATGCAGCTGGCAGGTAGGTTCAAACAGCCAGCCTTTTGTTCTCTCTTAATATTACTTAAGGAGCTCTGGTAGTGTAGTGGTTACGAATCGGGCTGCTAACCTCAAGGTCAGCAGTTCAAAACTATCAGCTGTTCCATGGGAGAAACATGAGGCTTTCTGCTCCCCTAAAGATTTGTAGCCTCGGAAACCCTGTGCAGTGTCACTATGAGTCGGAACCGACTCCACAGTACTTAACAACAACAATATTAATTTTTTCTCAGAACTAGATGAACTTGGAGTCCTGGTATGGCGCTGTGGGTTAATGTGCCAGACTGCAAAGCTATTGGAACTGCAAGGTCGGCTGTTCAAGCTCACCAGCTGTTCCTCGGAAACCCTACACAGGGTCGCTATGGGTCGGAATCGACTCGATAACACTTAACAACAACAACAGATGAACTTGGGTGCTAGACATGTTTACTCCTGGAAACATAGTGTTTCTCTTTTTACTAGCCTTTTTTTTTCTACTAATCTTTAAAAAATTTTTTAAAAAATCATGGTAAAAAAAAAAAAGAAGTGTATTTGAAGAAACAGGCCATATAAGTGGGTTGGCAGTTCTGTAGGACAGCACAGGTACTTTCATCCTTAAGATCTGTTCCCCCTTTCCTGAATTCCAAAATAAGTACAACATAAAGGTCTTAATGTTGGTAGGAGGCTTACTTAGGTATGTTGTTGTTGTTGTTGTTAAGTGCCGTCGAGTCGGTTCCGACCCATAGCGACCCTGTACAGGGTTTCCGAGGGTGTAAATCTTTACGGGAGTAGAAAGCCTCATCTTTCTCCCGCGGAGCAGCTGGTAGTTTCGAACCGCTGACCTTAAGGTTCGCAGCCCGATTCGTAACCACTACGCTACCAGAGATATAAAATTAATTTTGGGAACTTAATTTTCTTAATGACTATTATTGTCAGCCATTGAATAATTACTGTTCTGATCACTTTGCTAAGTTTTGCCTCTTTGTACTCTGTTGACACTAGTTTCGGGTAAATGAGTTTGGAGCCCTGGAAGTGATTACAGATGAGACTGAGATGGAAAATGTCAAAAAAGCAACTGCCACCACCACTTGGATGGTGCCGACTGCTCAAGAAGGTAAGAAAGGACCATCTGCTTTTAATTTCTTTGTTTAGAAAGTTTTCATTTAAGAATTGCTAAGATTTTTCTAATAGGACAAAATGTTAAAAATCCTGGGTGATTTTCCTGTCACATGTTCTTATGTTAATTTCTATAATGAAACTGACATGGAGCTAGCTTTTATATTTTAAAATAGCTATTAACTATGTTCTTTCTTAATGCCAGATCTGTAATAGCACAAGGTTAATTGGAAATTATCAAGCAAATCCATGTTGTGTAATAGCCTACCCAGGTGATTTAACCAAATGCCTGCCACTTTTTTCTCATCTACTCCGATGGTTGTAACTAACACCTATATGCTGATGACTCCTTGAATCTATATCTCCAGCCCCGACCTCTCCCCCGAGCTCCAGGCCCGTATTTCCACCTGCCTACTGGACATCTCCACCTGGATGTCCCACAGGTACCTCAAACTTCACATGTCTAAAATGCGATTCATTTTCTGTTTCTCTCTCTCCTTCCCCCAAACCCACTCCTTCTGTGTCCCTTGTTTCAGTTGCCAGTAGCATCGTTCACCTAGTGTACAAACAAGAAATCTAGGAGTCTTTCTGAATTTGTTTTTCCACATCCCCTTATCCTGCTACTTCTTTTGTGTTTTGTTTCCTGTATCTCTCTTAGATCTGACCTTTTTCTACCTATGATCACTGCCACTGTCTTAATGTAAGCCCTTCTCAATTCTCACATGAACTATTGTTGAATGCTCTTAAATGATCACTCTACTTTCCAATTTATTGTGTACACCGAAGTCAGGAACTGTGTCAGTTGTTTGTGTGATACTTCAGGGATTTGTTTGCCAAAACACACAAAGATCTAGGTGACCTGTGCCCTTCTGCTTTTTGGGTCCTCACTCTATCCTGTTCTATGCACGATGTTCTAGCAGTGCCAACAGCACTGAATTACACATAATTCTCCCAACATATCCTGTGGTTCCATGCTTCTTTGCCTTTGCTCATGCTGCTTCTGGTCTGAGTGCTATTTCTCTCCGTCCAGTTGGTCAGTTCCTGTTTGGCCTTCAAATCCCTGTTGAAGATGTATATTAGTAAATTCTTCCCTGACCTCATCCCAGGCTGAATGAGTCACTTCTTCTTCTGTACTCTTCTGAAATCTGTTCATGCTTCTATTATTGCATGTATCACATTTTATTATAAATATTGGTTTTCTTGTCTGTCTTCTAGACTCTGAGCTCTCTTGGGCAAGGTCTATACTGTCATTATCAGTGTTTAGTGTAAATTGGTGCCTAATGAATGTTTGCTGAATGAATAATTAGCATAACAGTTCAGGCAAAAGGAAATGTGAGTTCCTAAATGAATTTGGTAATTTTTATGATTCAAGAGATCTACTCCTAGGCAATAAAAGTCAATTAGAGAGATGTTGACTTAGCCAATGAAATAAAACAAAATCACTTACCAAAAGGTTATAAACATGAAACAACATAGATGACTCTTGTTAGATTTTGTCAAAAGTAGACCCTTTGAGAAGGATTTTGTATTTTCATCTTCTGAATATAGTAATTAATGAAAATTTCTCCATTTTTCTTTGAATGCTAGAAAACGCTTTAGACAAATTTTCGTTTATCTTTTCTACAGAATAGATACCTTTGGTATGTTACTAATTCAAGTGAATTTTGCCAAGCCTATCCTATGTCCACTCTCTGAAATGCTATCGATGAACATTTATTCATTCAACAAACATCATTTTCTTGTGTTGCTAACCATATTATTAGAAGAAAAAAATAAACTGTATTTTAGAAAGTGTTGTTTCATGACTTTCATTTGGTGTCTGTCTTCTTTCCATCTATTAGTCCTTTCAGAGAAGACTGGGATGCCTTTCAGGTTGAAGGAGCCAGTGAAAGTAGAAGGGCTTCAATTCTGTGACAGCTGCTGCCAGTACGGCAATGGAGATGAATGTCTTTCTGGAGGAAACTGCTGCAGCCAGAATTGTGCTCGGCATATCAAAGACAAGTGAGTTTTCATCCCGTTCCTTCTATAAAATGGGTTTTAGAATAGAAGATTAGGGTACTTGGCAACAGAGAGATTTTCTTCTCTAAGATGCATGTTAGCCATGTGTTTCTTTTTTCAGAGGCATTGCTTTTACGTGCACGTGGACTCTGTCCGCTTCACTGGGCTTAGTGACTTCTGTCATATCTGCTCTGACTTGTGCTGCTTATGTTCTGCGTACCATACAGCATCTGCCCGTTTTTAGCCTTTTGCGTACATTAATGTAATTGTTTTTAGCTTAGAGTATTAAAATTTTTCTGGGTAACTCATTTTGGCGATACTGATCTTTAGGGAAATGGATTTGTTTATATTTTGGTGCTTTTAGGTAAGTCAGTTAAAATTCCCTACTTGGAAAAAAAAACCCAGCAGTTGGGAATCACTGAATGAAAATGCCCAGGGTGGGGTTGTGTAGCTGGCCTCAGTATGGCTGATTTCAGTGCAGATTGAGGAGTAGGAGGCTGTGAGGTGGGTACACCAGCTGGGACTAGCAATGGTAGGGCTGACATTGCCCTGTGGGAATAGCCGAGAAGCTTCAGCTCATCACCAGGAAGAAGATGTAGTTCTTGCGTATAACTGTATACTACAAATTGTATACTACAAAAGTGAGTCAGTTATGCTTTAGTAGAATTCTCGGTGTATTTTAACCAGCACAGGCTTGGGAATTCCCTTGTTTTTATTGACCAAGTCTACACTTGGCCTCTTTCAGTTGGACTTGGTATTCGTAATGATAATTAAATCCTTGCCTTAAAATTGCCTTGAATACTCAGATATCTGTAAGTAATCAATCTTTTATTATGTGGATTTCAGAGGGGAAAGAAAAATAATTTGAAATGTATTAGAACTTGTTTCACATATGTTGCTGGTCCCTTTTGACCTTAATATAAGGCTGTCTTCACTTTCTGTCTTGACAGCTGTCATATGTCATAGTGTTTCTGAGTGTTCCTTAAATATGATCTAATGCCTGTGCATTTTTCCTTGTGGTTAAATATTTTTCCTTTGGAGGGTGATTCATAAAAAATAATTCTTGCGTCGATAATCAGTATGTGGTTATCTGATGGGTATTGTTTCCTGTCACTGTTTTGGGTTTGTAAACACAACAGAGATCAGAAAGAAGAAAGGGACATAGGAGAAGACAATGAAGAAGAAGATCCTAAGTGTAGTCGGAAGAAAAAGCCAAAGTTATCTCTGAAAGCTGACCCCAAGGAGGATGGAGAAGAGAGAGATGATGAAATGGTTAGTAGTTCTTACGCACCTACCAGTGAGTGCTGGGACGCTTCTTAAGTAGGTGAATTCATGGTTGTATACACCGGATCCGAAGCCAATGATTTGGGTTCACATGCTGATTCCTTGCCTCTCTGTTACTTATTAGCAGGTTACCTAGTCTCTCTGTGATTCATTGTCCTCTTTGCAAAATGGGAGTGATAGAATCTCTCCTTTGGGGTGAGAGAGGCAACAGGTAAATTCCTCTTGACAGCAAAATACCAATTCCATTTTGATAAATCACAAGCAGATCTCATAAAACTCTGGAAAGGGGTAGAAAATGGCAGGTGAATATCAGTTATCAGAAAAAAATTGATTAAAAATGTGTATATTAAAGCAGATATTTTGTACTCAGTATAAATTAATGGTTCTGTATGAAAAGATCATTTTGAGGTCATGTGGGATTTCTCTTTAGATCAATATTCAGCAGCTCCTATTTGGTAGTTTCTGTTTAGTGAGCAGGAGATACAGGGATGGCTAAGACAGAGAGGACAGAATCTCTCTTGGGTTTGTTACAGTTTTGTTGGGGGAACATAGAAGAGAAAAATAACAAAGAGTCAGCTCGTCAGAGTGTGGAACCCTATTTAGAGAAGCAGCGACACCAGAGATGAGGATGGGGAGAGTTGGAGCTGCTGGGGACTCTAGACTCATGGAGGGAGAGGAGCTTTGTGCTACTGGCCTGAGGGTGGGGGATGGGGCGGCAAGCTTGCAGGGTATGCCCTTTGGGTGTGTGAATGATTGCATGTTCCTGAGTTTTTTGGTGTACATAAAAAAAAGCAATAAAAACAGAGGGAATAGAAGCAAATAATATTGAATAATGATGCATGGAAGTTATTGTAATCATTGCAATGAAATGAAATATGATAGGATGAGTGTAAAGCTGATGTTCTCTCATGTAAACTATCACTAAATTAACGATAGAAACTTATTTAAAAAAAGCTCGTGATAAATCCAATGCTGAGAATTAAAATAGTATGTTAGGGTTGGACTTAGAACTAAATAGGGTTATCAAGGAAGGCTTTCCAAAGACGGTGACACAAACAGTTTGATTTGACTAATAAGAAGGAGCCATCTATGGAAAGTTAATAAGAAGGAGCCATCTATGGAAAGTTAGGGACCACTAGAGAAATGTTTTGTGGTAGTTTTTTTTTTTAATGCAAGACCATATATAGCTTGTTCTGTCCAAGGAATTCAAGAGGGACAATATAGTTGAACATTGAGATTATGGGGAGGATGGGTAAAATGAGTTTCTGTTGGGATTTTTATTTTATTCTGTTACAGGAAGCTAGTGGAAAGTTAAGGCAAGGGAATACTTTGATTTATGTTTTTCAGTAGTCATTGTATCTCTGATGTGGCAGCAAGAATGGAATCAGGGATTTATTACAGTAGTCTATATAAAGCGAGGAAGATAATGTGGTTAGGAAATAGGAGTCAGTGGATTTGGAATATATATTGGAGGTAGGGTTATCAGGGCCAGCATAATGTAGGAGGTATGAGGGAAAGAGAAGAATTTAGGATAACACTTAGATATTTGGCTTAAACATTTGACTGTATGATCATGTAATTTATGGAGAACAGATAGGTAGAGTAGTGAATCAAGGGTCTTTTTGGCCATAGTGAGTTTGAGATACAAATTATACATCCAAGGGAAGGAACCAAGTAGGCAGTTGGTTACACAAGTGTAGAGTTCAGATAAGAATTCAGGATTGCAGATAGTAGTTGAGGGTATTTGATATATAGACTAACCTAGGAAGAATGGTGAATGGCTAGATAGAGAAGGGGTCTAGGGATAGAGGAGAAACCAGCAAAGGAGACAGAGAAAGGTGTTGGTGAGGTATGAAGAAAACATAAACAGCGTGATCATGGGACTAAGAGAAGAAAAGAGAAGGGAACAGTATCTGTGGTATCTCTGAGTACAATTCTTGGAAACCTCAGGCCAAAATCAGTACAGTTCTAAATGACCTATATTCTTACTTTCCTTAAAAGTTAATGAAGTGAAATTAAGTACCCCTACATCTCCCAAAAAAGGAAAAGAAACTTTCTTTTAACTCTAACTTTTCATTGGTAGCAATTTTATGGACTTCTTATATCATACTTTTCCTTTTATGTTATAGGAGAACAAGCAAGATGGAAGAATTCTAAGGGGTTCGCAGAGAGCCCGAAGGAAAAGACGAGGTGATCCATCTGTATTAAAGCAGGGTGAGTTGATGAAAGGGATGTTTTATTAGTAAGTTTATGAAGTGGAAAGTATTTCACACAGGTAGAAGTTGTAGTCTAATTGTACTGTAAACGATGGCAACCAAAGTATTACTGTGGAGTTTTCTTTCATTAGATTTGGGTAATAAAAATTCGAGTTTTTGAAAAGTAGGTAAGGAAATAGAAATTAGTAACTGTCAAGTCATTTCAAGATAAGCTGAGTCAACTTCAAAAAAAATTTCTATCTAGTAAATCTATTCTCCTTCCTCACTTTTACTAAAACTGATGTTCTTGGGATCTGTTTCTCAAAATTGTAGGATTTTAATGTTTCATCTCAAAGCAGAGCCTCCTGATGTGTGGTACTTTTTTTTACTTTCATTGTTCCTTGGGCAACACTTTGTTCAAATGGGGAATCTGGTCCTTAGGGCCTTTCCTGTTCTTTCACACTTGACTGGAAATCGCTCCAAATCTTTGCCTCCATCATCACATAGCAATCTTTCTATGTGAAGTAGCTGTGTGACTCTTTTCCTCTTTTGTAAGGACATGACTCACACTGGATTGTTGTTGTTGTTGTTGTTAAGCACCGTGGAGTCAGTTCCTCCTCATAGCAACCCTGAATAAGTAGGGTTTCCAAGGAGCGGCTGGTGAGTTTGAACAGCTGACCTTACAGTTCAAGACTGGATTAAGACATACGTTATTCCAGTATGACTATATGTTAATTGTAACATCTTTACAGACCTATTTCCAAACAAAGTCATGTTCATTGATACACAGGGTTAAGAAAGACTTTAGTTTTACCACTATCTTTCGGGGATGTAATTCAATCCATATCGGTCTATATCCTGCCTCGGGCACACAGCCTCACTGTGTCTTTTGGCAAATGAGTTTAACTCTTTGTCATTAAAGACAATAAATTCCTCAGTTACCCTTTACTTCCATGCAGAATGTCGGTTTCATTCTGCTTTGCTCTGGATGAATTTCTAGGACCCTTGATCTTTTGGACCTTGTTCCTTCAGTCATCCTCTTTTGAAAAATTTCACTAGGTATTCAGGCTTGTTTTTTTCCCTATTTGTGACTTTTGTCTTTGTCCAGTAAATCTCATTCTCAAAAATACTGTCTACCAACATTGTTAGCCTTTAATGACTATACTCTTTTCTTGTTTTCATCATTTACTAAACTCATCCAATAAAATTGACTTTAGCTGCCTCCGTATCTCTGTATCCTTATCACTAATGTATTCTTTGGCACATCATACTCTGTCTCTTGCTGCATTGATTTGCTTCCCTGTCTACAAGATTTTCCCACAACTGAATGCATTGGGCTGTTCTCTTGATCTCTCCTGATTTCAGGAAAATAATTTTTGAGAATCTTGCTTATATAAGCTTTTACTTCCTCAGCCTTATGATACCGTTTTATTGTTGTTTTCTCTGGTGTCATTTTCATTAACTCTGAGCTGCTTTCTTCTTCCCTTGTACCGGTGGATTATAGCACATTTCACTTCTCAGCTCTCTTTTGTTGAAAAAAGAGCCAGGAAGAGACTGTGAAATGCCAGGTATGGAAAAAGAAAGAGTGAGGCATAGTAATAATTGGGGAAGTCAGAGCTTACAGAATATATTTTTGATTTCTTGGATTTGGAAATGGTATTTTAGTGTCATTCACTTGCCTTTCAGGTTTACCTCTCAAAGGGAAGAAAACCTGGTGCTGGACGTCCTACCTGGAGGAGGAAAAAGCTGTGGCTGTGCCAACGAAGCTGTTTAAGGAGGTATGGACCCTTCTAGGAAGTGCTGTTTGTAAGGGCAAAGGAGCTAGAATACTGATCTGAAGATAGTAATGTCATGCCATTGTCTGTTTAGGAAATAGGACTTGGGATAGTTTCTCTACAAATACACTGTTTGTCACGTGTGTATTTATGTGAAGAGGTCCCCTAGTGACACAGTTTGCACTTGACACGTAACCTAAAAGCTCGTGGTCCAGACCCACACAGTGGTGCTGTGGAAGAAATGCTTGGAGATCTGTTTCCATAAAGAGTACAACTAAGAAATCTCTGTGGAGCAATTCTATATTATAACACATGTGGTTGTCCTGAGTTGGGATCTACTTGAAGGCAAGTTTTATTTAGGCAGCGAGGCACTTCCAAAGGCAGTTAGACTTAATGTGTGCACATCTCCACCCAGTGCCACACCTTCATGGGCACACACTGACAGTTGTGCATTACAGCTCTGAAAACCCTACGGAGCAGTGTTAGTCTAGAACACCCAGGTCGTCATCAGTTGGAATCCACTCAAAGTCAGCTAACAACAAGAAACATGACATGTTTATGACATACTATGATTAAATGTGCTTTAATAATTTAAATAACTTTAATCTTAATTTAATAATTTAATAGCTATAGTTTAATTGCTATAATTTAACAAGGAGTCCTGGTGTGGTGCTGTAGGATAAGCATTAGACTGCTAACTACAGGGTTGGTGGTTCAAACCCATCAGCTACTCCTTGGAAGTCCTATCCTGGGTCACTATGAGTTGGAACTGAGTTGACGGCTTATAACAACAACCATCAAACACAGATATTTTGGCCTTCCACAGTAACTCTGGGTAAATTGGAACCTTTATATTAACAGTCTTCCACAAACCATCTGGGCCACCTGGAGACCTAGATAGACCTTATCAAAGGCTTTTTTTTATATGTATGACTATAAGTTTTTAAAAAGCAGTGAAGTGAAAACGTTAGATGATTCTATCTGTATTAAAAATAGTTAAATATAATAGTAATTGATATGAATTTGTTGTATAAAATTATTCTCTGTAGTTTTAGGCCTTTACAGGATAGGCTTTTTCACTACATGAATTGATAAAATATTCATGTGATTCAAAATTTGAAAGTTACTAAAAGAATATGAAGCATGTCTGGAGGCATCAGATTTACCTCTGGGTCAGTCACTGTTTCCGGTTTCTTATGTATGTTTTCTGGGAAATTGTATGTATATAATCCTTTTGCCTCTCTTATACCAAATGGTAACATGTGTTTGACTTTGCTTTTTTGTTTAGCTGAACAGTTTATAGAGATTTTTCCATTTTGTTTTATTAATACCTTCATCATTCTTTTATGCTAGTGCATAGAATTACATCTTTGGTCTGTTGGATAATTACTTAAGCTTTCCCTATTGATTGACATAAGTTGTTTGTTTTTTTCCCCCTTAATTTCACATAAATGTTTTTTAGTGAATAATCTTGTACACCTGTCACTTTGAATGTATGAATATATCTTTTGGATAGTTTCTTAGAATTGAAACATCAGGAAGAATGCTCATTTTCAAATTGATACTATGAAATCAATTTAATTTCCAGAGTTTACACCAATCAATTGTCAGAGTTTACACTAATGTACATCCTACTAGTGATGTATGTGGAGCCCTGATATGATGCTGTAGGATAAGCACTTGGCCACAATGTTGGTTTGAACTGCAGGGTTGATGGTTCAAGCTCACCAGCCACTCTTCGGAAACCTATACAGGGTCACTATGGGTTGGAACTGACTCAGTGGCACTTAACAACAATAAGTGATGTATGTTGAGTCCTGGTGTGTTGCTGTTAGGATAAGCACCGAACTGCTAACCACAAGGTTGGTTTTAATATCCCACAGCCTTGCCATCAGTGTGGGTGGGATCCAATTTTTGGATCTTTACCAATGTGATAGGGAGAATTCATCTTGGTATAACTACTTTGTCTGACTCATACAGGTGAGATTGAACATGCACAAAAAGCCATTTAAATTTCCTTCTCTGTGACTGTTGATAGCCTTTGCCCATTTACCCATTGGATCAATCAGTGATCTTTTTCTTGTGAATTTTTAGGAGTTAATGACTTATTTGGTTAACTAGTCTTTAAGAAAGGAAATTATTCACATTAGGCCCATGAAGTAAGATACTAAATCTGTTGTTACTTTGCTTTTTAGTTTCAGTCTTTTCCATATAACAAAAATGGGTTCAAAGCTGGCCTGAAACTAGAAGGCGTGGACCCAGAGCATCAATCTGTGTACTGTGTCCTCACAGTGGCTGAGGTAAGCTTCGCCTTTGTCTTTATGTTTGAAATAAAAGGACCAGCATGGAGTTGTAATAACAAGAAAAGCTGTAATTTCTTGAATGCTTCTTTTATGCCAGGCATGGTGCTTAGTATTTTGTATATATTATCTCATTTAATTTTCCCAAGAATCCTATGCAAGTCATGTTTTTTTTACCTCAGCTATATGGGTAGGAAACTGAGGTTCAAAGAATAAAGTAATGTTCAGAAGTCTATGCAGTTTCAAATGTAGAATCAGAATTTGCAGTCAAGTCTGTCTCAATCTATAGATGTAGCCAGACTGTGTTCCTTAGGATAATTTTTAACAGAAATTTATACTTTTCTTGTATTTGGAAGTTGTTTTGTGAAATTTTTCAAGAAAAAAAATAAATCCAACTCAGTCCAATACATTAATAAATAATACTTTTTAGTATTTATTATTTCTCTTTCTGTGCTAGGTTGAAAACATGGTCTCTTCTTTTCCTCTTTTTTTTTTCCCTCCTTCTTTCCTCTCTCTTTTTATTCAAAGGAAAAAAGAATAGACTGGAACATGTTGGCACTCTAAAGATGCCATTAGGAAGTAGAGTATTAGAAGGTTCAGAGGGAATAGTGAATTAACCAAGAGGAGATGGGATGCAGAGTATACAAAGAGGCACAAGCCTTAGCCAGAGGGAGGAGTATTGTCTTCGGTGATTACAGAAGGAATGCTGGAAAGCATAGGTCCAGGCAAGTTTGCCAGTTTTGAGGCAGACATTTGAGAGAACTTTTTTGACACAAGAGAGAAATACTAGATAAAGGGAGAATGGAGATAATAGGTATAGAAGCTAAAGGAGTGGGAAGAGGATTTGAAAAGGCAGGGAGAACAGGAGAAGTTATCTAGTGCTTCTATAACAGAAAATGATACAAGTGGAGGGCATTAACAAGCAAATGTATTTTCCCACAGTTTAGGAGGCTAGAACGCCAAATGCCAGGGTCTGGCTCTATGAGAAGGCTTTCTTTCTCTGTCAGTCCATGTCTCTCCTGAACTTCTGCTCCTGGGTGATCTTCATTTAACTTGATTCCTCTCTTTCCTCATCTTTATTTCCTTAGATTCCTCTCTTTTTTCATTTTTTAAGAGATTGACTCATGATACTTCATGCACTGGTCCTGCCTCATTAGTATAACAAAGAACACACAAATGGGATTATAACCAAAGGCTTAATGGTTAGGATTTGCAATACGTTTTGGGGCTAGAGCACAATTTAGTCCATATCTTTCTTGCTTTTGACCCCTACCCATTTTCATATCCTGGCAATATGCATAACATATGCAGCCAGTCGTATCATCTCAGAAGTCTCAAGTCAATTCCAAGTACAAATCAGATCTTAAATCAAACATGGTGCAGAGTAGGCATATTCGATCCTGGGACAAAATTCCTTTTCATCTTTGAATCTGTGAACTATAAAATTATCTGTTTCCAAAATATAATGGAACAATTACAAGGTAGATTTTTCCATTTCAAATAGGAGATATTGAATGGGAAGAAAGGAGAATGAGCATTAAGAAAATGTAAACCCCAGCATAACAAATTGCATCAGCTCTAAAAGCTTGAAAATAATCCTCTTCTTAGAGACCATCTGGGCAATGGACATACCCTCTAGACTCTGGGTATTATTGGCCATGCTCTCTCGAGTCTAGGTAGAGACCCTCAGCCTAGGACTTGAGCTCCACCTTCTGGGACCTCTGAGATAACAACTCTGCTCCTTTGACTTTGTTGTCATTAAGTGCCATCCAGTCGCTTCTGACCCATAGCGACCCAGTAGGGTTTCTGAGGAGTGGCTGGTGAGCTTGAGCTGCCGACCTTGCTGCTCAAACTGACCTTGAAGTACAGTATGTTAACCCACAGCACCGCACCAGGACTTTAGGTAGCCCCATTTTTCTAGTCCAGCATGGCAGTCTCACCCCCTCAGCCCCAGTGTTGTTGTTAGGTGTGGACAAGTCAGTTCCAACTTTTAGTGACCCAGTGCACAGCGGAACAATACACTGCCTGGTTCTCTGCTGTATTCACAATCTTATGCTTGAATCCATTGCTGGTATCATTGTGCCAGTCTATCTTGTTGTGAGGGGCTTCTTTTTCGCTGACACTTTACCAAGCATAATGACCTTCTCCAAGGACTGGTTCCTCCTGATAATAAATCCAAGATACGAGAGATGAAGTCTCAGTATCCTGGCTTCTAGGGAATATTCTGGTTGTACATCTTCCAGGATAGATTTGTTTGTTCTTCTGGCATTCTGGCACTTTCAATTGTCTTCTCCATACCATAACTCAAACGTGTCAGTTCTTCTACATTATTTGAATAATGAATACTTCATTATTCATTGTCCAACTTTCACATGCATGAGGCTATTGAAAATACCATGGCTTCTGTCTGGTGCACCTTAGTCCTCAAACTGCTGATACCATTGCTGTTTTAACACTCTAAAGAGGTCTTCTGCCACAGATTTGCCTAATTTAATATGTTGTTTGATTTCCTGACTGCTGCTTCTCTATAAGCGTTGATTGTGAATCCAAGCAAAATGAAGTCTTTGACAGCTTCAATCTTTTCTCCATTTATCTTGATGTTATTTATTGATCCAGCTATGAAGATTTTTGATTTCTTTACATTGAGATGCAACCCATACTGAAGATTGTAATCTTTGATGATTGTTAGTATTTCAAGTCCTCTTCGATTTCAGCAAGCAAGGTTGTATATCATTTGTATACTCTAGATTGTTAATGAGTCTTTTGGAGAAAGAGTCTTTCTCCAAAAGACTCATTAACAATCTAGAGTATACAAATGATAATGTCACTAATGCCACATTTTTCTTCATATAGTCCAGTTTTGTTTTGTTTTTTATTATAATCCACAATATGGATTGAACAAGTATGGTGAAACAGTACAAATACACACTTCACGATTTTAAACCATTCAGTATATTCTTGTTTTGTTTGAACAACTGCTTCTTGGTCTATGTTACAGAGTCCTCATGATCACAGTTTAAGTCTTCTGAAATAACCTTTCTTTACAGTGCTGTCCATAGCTTTTCATGACCCATACAGTCAAAAGCTTCTGCACAGTCAGTAAAACAAAAATTAAAAAATCATTCTGATATTCTTTGCTTTTAGCCAGGATCCTTATGATAGCAGCAATGATATCTCTAATTCCTCTTCCTCTTCTAAGTCCAGCTTAAGTTTCTGGCAATTGCATGTCTATGTATGGTTGGCAGCTGTTTTTAAATTATCTTCATTAAAATTTTGCTTGCATGTTATATTCATGATATTGTTTGATGATTTCCACATTCTGTTAGTTCGCTTCTATTTGGAATGGATACAAATATGGATGTTTTCCAGTCAGTTGCCCAGGTAGCTTGTCTTCCAAATTTCTTGACATAGATGAGTGAGTGCCTCCAATGCTGTATCAGTTTGTTTAAAAGATTTCAGTTTGCATTCTGTCAGCTCCTATAGCCTTGTTTTTTGCCAATACCTTCAGTGCAGCTTAGCCTTTTTCCTTCAGCGTCATCAATTCTTGATTATGTACTATCATGAAATGGTTGAACTTAAACATCGACCATTTCTTTTGGCACAGTGACTCTGTATACTTTCCATCTTCTTTTTTTTAATGTTTTAATTGTTACTTGAGTGAAAGTTTACAGGGCAGATCATCAGTTTTACATTCAACAAATCATACACCTTATTTCATTACAATGATTATAATCCCTTCCATGTATGATCAGTTAACAGTATTTCTCGCTATTCATTTTAGCTCTTTTTTTAAACACTCAGGCATATATAATAATTTACACCACCAAAGGGAACGTTCTGCAAGTTTGCCTCCTGGCCCCCAGCTCTCAGTCCCTCTCTCTCCATGAATCTAGAGTCCTCAGCTGCTCCCTTTCTCCATGTCCCCATCTCTGCCTCCATCTCTGGTGTCTCTACTTCTCTGGATAAGGTCCCGCATTCCTCTTGTCCTCTTCTCCCTTGATGGCCCTAGTGTCCTCTGTTTCTGGGCAGTTAGATTAACTATGTCCCAGTTTTTGTTATAAAACATCTTCCTTCACAATTAATCATGATAACAGTTACTATTGAATCATAAGAATCTTATCCCCATCTCTTTTTACCAGACCCATCTAGACAAGATGAAAATGATTCAGTGGGGACTCTTTCTTCCCCCACACACTCTTAAACTAAACTCCCTCTTGAAACCTTGTAAACCAGTCACTTTGTGCCTTTATTGCCCCCTCATTTTAGGTAGCCAGTATCGAAGTTGCCTGTCCCTGTCTACCCTGTGCACAGAGGGAATAGCATTGATACTTGATGTAAAGACTCCTTCCCTCAAATTGATATTTAGAGTTACTACCTTCATGAGTATAGGTCAGGTTCATCAAATTGTAGCAATTTACCCTTGTTTCCTTTACTTTCCATCTTTTTTTGATGCTTTCTGCATCATGCAATATTTTGTCCATGGAATCCTTCAATATTGCAAGTCAAGGCCTGAATTTTTTTCAGTTCTTTCAGCTTGAGAAATGCTGAGCATATCTTCCCTTCTGTTTTTCTAACTCCCAGGTCTTTGCACATTTCATTATAATATTTGACAGTCCCAGTAGACCCCAAGTTTCTGACCTTTGGGTATGGCAGTCCCACCCCTCATAGCCCCATCCTCCTGCACACTAGAATGATAGCTCGAGATTCTAGAACCAAGTTAGCAAAAATGTGACTCTGAAACTTAGGTTGCCTTGGCCTCATGCTTTGAAACTGAGAAGATGCTTCTCTGGGTGCTCCTTTGAATAGTTCTGCTGATCTTTGGAAGTTCTGTAACTATGCTAGTCCTTTTTATTTTGTAGGTTTTTTCTGTTGTTACAAATCTGCTATCTTTGATTTCTTTATTTTTAGTCTTGTAAATTTGAGTACTAAGAGATGACCTAAGGAATCTCCGGTATTCCATACATACTCTTCTTTATCTCCATAATATCAGTCAAATTTCC